TGCAGCAACTCCACCCAGATCCCCGCACCGCGCTTGGAGAAGCAGGGTTGAATGGGATGTTGACAGACGCAGCCTGGGGAGCTCGCCCAAGTCCAGGGCTGCTACTATTCTGGGTTCCAAGTCACACTCGATACTCTGCGCAGTCGCCTTCTCAGGGACCGTAGACCCGGTTCTAAGTGTTGTTGCTCCAGAGCGCCAAGTAAGGAGTTTCCTGCCCAGCACTGGAGGGAGGCACAGGGCCCCGCGCTGCTGCACACACCAGGTCGCTGGAGAGGCGTTGTTACTACCGGATGGAGCAAACATGGGGTGGGGGGTGTTAAAGAGAGTTTCGGGGTTCTTAGCAAACCACTTCAGGCCTTAATCTTAGTACTTCAGGTTCCAGCATAAAGCGAGCCGGTTTCTGAGTTAACAGAATAGTAATAAACTTTGCTAAGGATTAAAACCAAAGCAAAACTTAACAACAGAGAGTATGGAGTAGAGTAAGGGGGGGGGGAGGAAAAAAGAGCAGAAGGGTAGGAGAAAGACACCTTAAACAGTTTTTCTAGAAGAATGGAATTGGAGGACCAGGTCTGGAAAGATCCATCAAAGTCACAAAGTCTCCGTGTAAATACACACCCAGTGCAGGGTAGGCTCACTCGTCCAGAGAGTCTGAACTTCTTGTAGCCCTTCTAAAGGAAAGAAAATATATACAAAGTCCCCAAACTAACCCCAATGTAAACACCTTTACCATACATTCATTAAATGCTAAAAAATAAAAAGGACTCTCACTAGTTCTTTTAGGCATTTCTCAACTAAGTAATCCAAGCCTCAATTATCTCCTGTTTTCCACAACTGCCACATAGCTGTTAACATATTATCATAACAGGAGCAGCAACCCTCCCTCTTTTTTCGTCAATTAAGGGGAATTAAGCATCTTCTTCGATGCGATATTTCTTTCTTGCAATCCTTCCTCAGCTCCCATACAAAATTCACAACGTCATTTAGGTAAAATGTGTAAGATGCCCAGCATAAAAGCAAATGAAGTTATGTATCCCACATACAGTAAATCCTGCTTTCTGTCTTGTCAGGTAGAAAGTCAACAACGTGAAGGTCTTCCGTGAAGGGGGCGGGGAGCAAGAGTGGAAAATAAACTTCTAAGTCTAAGATAAAATTTCCCTAGTTTCCTCTGTTAAAATCGTAGAGGCAAATCAGTCACGTGTTTACAATTGTGTTTCTAATTAGCTCATTTAAAAAAGAAAAATCCCATCGTGAAGGATCATTTTGTCAGTTTGGCGGAGGTCGGGGAAAGAGAAATAGGTTATTAATTGCTTTTGAGAATCCGCCACCAGAAATGTCCCCCTTTTAGTAGGAGACAGACCTCTCCTCCCTCTGGCGGCCACGTTTCTGCCTTTCCGTGTGCTTAGATTAACTGCAGTTCGCCGGGGGTTTTATAAGTCAATCAATAGGGAGTCTATATTCATAAAGGACTCTGGTCTGATTACAGCCCCTCCTTTCTGTCTCTAAAAACCATAAAGTGGCGCGGAGGCAGCCCGGCGTGGCCCGGGCTCTGCAGGCGGCCTGGCCCGGCGGGCGGCGGCCGGGCGCCCGTGGATTAGGATGTGGATTGCAGAGCAGACCTTTGTTTGGTCCCATTGGTGACGGGGCTGGGGGCGGGGGCCGTCTACCTTTGAGATCACCCCATGGATTTTTCTTCTAGATCCGCTTTAGAGGATCTTGCCACTCTCTCCAGGGTTAATTTATGGGACTTTCAAGAAATAGGGAGACTTTTAAAGACGCTGTTTCTTGGCCCCCCGTTAATTTTTTTCAGTTCCTCAAGAAAAGGGGTTCCCTTGAGGGTTTTGGCACCTCTCAGAAAGGCGTAGGGATGGGAGAAAAAGGTCAGGCTGGAAAAATGGTTTAAAATTTCAATTTCTACCCAGGTTGAGGACATTAAATGGCAAATTGTGGGCAGTGGAAGGGGACAGACACAGACGTGGGCTGCATATGTGCTTCCCAGGGTTCCTCGGATCTAAGTTCGGTATTTGGTGGGGAGATATTGGGGCCTAAGAATTTCTTTTTTAAAAATCATGAAATAAGAAAAGAAGGCCAGGAGAGAAGAGAAAAGCAGGAGATTGAGAACAGGTGCGGGGGAGGAGAACTCCCTCCCAGTGCGCGCGTGGGTGGTGCCCGGGACGCAGCCCCCCACCCGGCGTTCCTGGGGCGCAGGAAGGGGGTGTTGGCGGTTGACTGAGGCTTGGCCTGGCTCCTGTGCGCCCCCCTCAACCTCTCCCTCGCCATCTTTGAGCCCCAGAGGAGGAGGAGGTTGGCGTCCATGCTGTATATAAGATCACCTTAAAGGTTCCTTTACGCACTTTAATACACAACTAGCTCAGAAATCATTAAGAGACCTAAAGAAAGCAGAGAATACCCTCACACTCACCAGGAAGGAGTGTTGACACGCAGCAAAAATCGATTGAGTGGAACCGAGGTGGTGCAGCGGCAGCGGTGACCGGAGGGGGCCCGGCGTGGGAGCGTCAGGGCCGAGGGGCCCCGCGGGGAAGCCCGGGAGCCCAGCTGTGCCCGCTCCAAGGGAGACCGGGGTGCCCGCGGGCGGCGGGGCGCGCGGTGCGGGGCGAGGCGGGCTCGCACCTTCCCGCTGGGAGTCCCGGGACGCTCTTCAGTGCCGAGTCTCCGCCCCCAGCCCGCGCCACCGGGGCCTGGGCAGTGACAAGTCGGCCCCACATCACTACTTTCAGCGTGGTGACCTGCAGACCGATGCCTGGGCTCGCCTGGAGGGTCACTTCGGCAGCCACACCAGGTCGAGGTCCGCCTCATCTTCTGGTAGACCCCCCCCACCCCACTCCCGGCGCTCTGGGACCCGCAAAAGACGCGCACCTCCCCGCAGGGCACCCATGCGCTCCAGGCGTGTCCCGAAGACCCCCAGAGTAGCCCCTTCTCCTAGGGCGCCACCCCCTCCCCCCCACTCGCCGGCGGCCCCCCTGAGGCTCCAGAGCCAAAGTCCGCCGGTGGTCACCACGTTCCTCTCCACTGCTCCCGAGAGAACAACACGGACAGAGGTGACCCTCGTCCAAAGGGCTCTCATCTGCTCCCCAACCCCCCCGCCCGGTGATCCCGCTGCAGGTCGCAGGCAGAGCTTTAAAAAAAAAAGAAAAAGAAAAAGAAAGTGAGTAAGTTAATGGGGGTAGAGACCTCATCCTGCACTGGGGACGTTATAAGCGACCTCTTTAAGCAAACGGCAACCGCCGTTCAGTGCAGAACAAAAGATTCAAGGACCGGATTCCAAAGCTTAGAGGTGAAGTTTCAGTCAGATGAAACCAACCTAAGCGCAAAAACACAGGTTTTCTCAACTCCAAGAAACCGGCGCCGACTTTTCGCTCTCGCTTCTCCTGGGTGGTGTTTGCCCTCGCCCACCGGGTGGAGGTGCAGGGGCCAGGGAGTGACAAGATTGACAAAAGACCTCAGCATGGGGTGCCCCCTCCTTCTCTGACCCTCTTAGCGTCACCGAGAAGCACACTTTGGAACTAAATGGTATTTGTTACAAATAAAGTTGTATATCTATCTATAGTTCGGAAAATCACCAAGAGAGCAATCGGTACTTAAAAGGTCTTTTAAATCTCAGACCTCATGCCCAGTTTTGATGTCAGAGGATAGCAGGGAGGGCCAGGGCTGTAATTCATCTTGATTTTCTTCATTGTCCCTCAGTTTGCAAACTATAATCCTGTATAATTTCAGGAACAAGCAGGTTTAGAATTAATGGGTCAATATTATTTAAAACAAAACATGGAGAGCATGACCTTTGCCTCAACTACATATTACTCGACAAGATTCAGGAAACTCCACTCTAACCTCTCACCCTCTGGGGCTCTTGGAGAAACGGAAGGGTTGTGGTTATTAGAAATGGTCTTTGTTTCTTTTAATGTCTCAGAAGGACTTAGAAATAGCAATGCAATAGAACATGAAGGATCTCTCTACTTAAGCCTAAAAGATAAACGTGAGGCCTAAATATTTTGAACTAGAGGTGTTTCCTTGTAAACTTATTATAGATGTATTCTTCTTAAGAGGAATGTATATAAACTGTACATGTATACATACACACATACTTCTCCAGGACAATTTACTGGAGGTGCCAGGTTTTCCCCCTGAAAAAGTAAACTTAAGAGCCATTCCAGACTGGTTCACTGTCTAAATTTCTCCCCCTCCTCTTACATTATTTGCTTGCAGTGATGGAATCCTTTGGGCTTCCGCCAAATAAAAATCTGAGAAACAAGATCAGACACTTTACAGTCTTTTTTTTTTGAGGTGGGGTAGTGCCTCTTTTTAAAGTTTTTGAGGAATGACTATATTTCTACCAAATTTAAGTACTGCTGCCTCCTATGTGTAGCCAGGCACGCAGTGGGGACTGGTTTGTTTAAGAGGCAATGACTGAGAAGCCCTGTGCAGGCGATAGAGGGCAGAAAGAATCCAGACCAATTTGTATGCAGTATATTTTACTCCCATGAAATAAACACATTATTTTTCATATTTGCTGAAAAGTAAAACAATAATATTGTACGAAATGTTATACACAGGGTAGGTTGTACATAGCAGTTTCAGAAACATCATTGCATCCACCAGAGAAACTATTCTAAAACTGATATTCACACATTTTTTTATAATAATAATATGTTAGAAACGTACAGTGTGGCATTTAGTATATACATTCCCTTGCTCGCAAGCGAAAAATCCTAATCGCTTCTGTATAACATGCTTTATTTTAAAGCCTAACCTTTAAAAACACTGTTGTGATATTACTAACAACTGCTTTTATAAAATTAATTTGACATTTCGATATATATACATCCTTTCAGTCATTTTAATGTTAACAATGCTAAACTTAAAAAATAACAAGCTTATAGTAATGTTAAAATGTCATATCCAGTCAAATATTTGCGTGTATATGTGTGTGTACACATAGATACATACACACACACACACATACATACACATATATGTGTGTCCTCGCAACTATTGGAAATACTTTAGTGAAAGATGTCAGACACTGAGGAAATGCCTTTGAAATCAAAGGAGCGCTTTCTTTAATGCAGTGGTTTCCTCTTTTATTTATTTTTTGCCTCTATCTTCTCTCCTCCTCTCTCCATCCCTTTAGTGCCCACGACTGTCTAGCATCACAGAGTTCCCAGTCTCTCAAGGTCGGAGTGGGCCCACCCGGCAGGTCCTAGAACCCGGCGCGGTGGGTGCTGCTCACACGGGCCGGTCCACCGCGTACTGGCAAGCGCTCAGGTTCGACGCCGGGTTCTGCACGCTGGCGTAGCCAAAGCTGGAGTGCTGCTTTGCTTTCAGTCTCAGGCTGGCCAGGCTCGAGTTACACGTGTCCCGATAAACGTATGGAGGCGTCGGTGGCGCGTAAGGGCAGGCGGGGGTTGGCACCGCGGAGTTCAGCGACGGGCTGCTCAGGTTGTTCAAGTTATTCAGGCTGTTGAGGCTGGAGCCCGGGACGCCGGTCACTGCTGAGGGCACCATGCTGGACGACATGCTCATGGACGAGATGGAATTGGGTGGGGAGAACATGCTCTGCGACGACAAGGGGTTGACGTTCATGGAGTTGAAGAAGGGGAAGCTCTTGGTGGACAGGGAGGCCGATGTAAGGCCCTTGGCGGCCCAGTTGTTGTACGAGTAGCCCGGGTACATGTCGTCGTAGGGTTGCATGAGCCCATTGAACTGCGGCCCGAAGCCATTCTTGCACAGCTCGGCCTGTTGGTTGCGCTCTCGCTTTCTCCATTTGGCCCTGCGATTCTTGAACCAAACCTGGGGGGGAAGGGGGGAGGGAAAAAGGGAGGAGGAGGGGGCAAGGGAACAAACAGACATCAGACCCCACGGTGAATATTAGTCAAACTTGGAACGAATCTGAAAAGCGCTGACACACACACACTCTCTCTCTCCCCCCCGCCCTGCCACATGCACTCCCACAACTCCCCAAGCTCCTGGGGTCCCCACGCGGCCCAGCCTGCCATTTAAAGCTCTGAGCGGTGCCGCAAACCTCAGCTGAAGGCCTGGCAGCCTGTGGGCAGCTAGCTTGATTACTCCTCCAGGCCCTCCTCCAGGTCTAAAAACATTGATTGTAAAGTAAACGCGAGGCAGCCAGCTTTCTACCCATTCCCTGCTGGGTCACTTTGCAAACCTGCTTCCATTCCAAAGCCACAAACCCCGACAGGAAGACAAGAGGCTGGGAAGGCCTCAGAGGCCCACTCTTTCTATCTCCCTGCCACATACCTCCTTCTTCCCCTCTCTGAACTCGATTGTGCCTCCCTTGACACTCCCCCTCTTTCTGGAACGTGTGACCTCCAAAGGCGCTAGACTGTCCCCCCCCCCAAGCAAAACAACCAAATCAAAAGCTAAAGACCACCTTAACAGCTCGTTAAACTCCTGGAGTTTGGCATGTAAATCTGCTGGAACGTTTCTCCCTGGGCAGCCGTCTCCTCCCTCTTCCAGTCCCACCTCACTCTCCACCCACCCTCACGCAGGTCCGAGCTCTAGGCCCGGCCCCGGCGTGACCTCGAACCGCTGCCCGGGCCCGTCAGCCCCCACCTGCAACCCGTGGCCCCGTCGCAACCCCGTTCCCAATCCACATCAGGCCCTGCTCGTCGCCCCTGACGGCGACTTTTGTGTATTGGAGCGAGGCCTGGCCCGAGATCTCAGAGCTGACACCGGTGGTGATGTTTCACATTACACATCTCCGCCGGGTCCAGACTCCTAATTCGTTTTTCCCCCCTTTGCCCCTTTCATTCTGGTTTTCTTTTTATCCCCCTTCCTCTCTGCGCGCACAGCCTACTATAAAAAGCACGCCTCACTCCCACTTGGCTGGGCGGACAGCCGGTCGGAAAGGAGGTGGCCAGAGAGCGAGGACTGGGAGCAGCGAAGTGGCGGCAAGAGGCCGGGAAGGGGATACAGGGGAGCCGGAGGGGGTGAGGTATGGCTTCTCTGAAGGGTTCCGAAAACCCTGCGATTGTGTCTTTTCTTTTAATTACTCTCCATTTCTACTGGAGATAGTGTAAACTTTGCCCAGGCGAGAGGAGTACGTGCGAGGCCCGTTCCTCTCACGAGCTGTTGGGCTAATAAAAGACTGACCTTGCGCACAACCACGCGGCCTCAGCTCGAGCTCTCGCTTCGGGTAGTTAAACTAAAACCATTTCTAACCTCATGGTGGCTTTTATCCGCCAGCATAGACGCACATCCTGCACAAATGCCACCCACAGCGCGCCTGGGCTCCCTCTGCTTTGGGAGAGCACACTGCTTTTTAGTCTTCTCATTATTATTATTATTTATTATTATTGCTAAATTTTATCTTCTGTGTTTTCAACTGGCCTAACTGGGTCTTGATTTTCCTCTCCAGAGCGCTTAAAAAAAAAATGTGTGTGTAGATATTGCAAAGTCTCTGGATCCTGTTTGTCCGTTTTCTACATCCTGCGCCCAGACTCCTAACTAATTTGGAATTTTCCAGCGACCAGCATAAACCAAGATGTTGCTATGGGCTAACTGATTTAAACACATTCTTGCCAGTTCGTACAGTACAGTTTTGCTACCAAGTTAAGGTAAGCCTTTTTTATTTTTAATAAAATTATGATTCTAATTAGAAGGGGCAGGAAGAACAAATTTCAGGGTATCCAGCAATTAAGAAAGGATAACAAAACTATAAAGAAAGCTGCTTTCATTCTTTTTTCCCATTCTTTCTTCTTTTTTCTTTCTTTAGAAAACCCAACCAAAACAAAAAAAAAAAATCGAGCAGAACAGAACTTGTGTATTTAAACTTACTTTCCGGCGATCACAAAAACCAGGGAGTTGGGTGGGGGAAGAGCCCTGAATGGCCGCAAAAACCCGCAAAGACCATGTAAAGAGGACTAATCTAGAGTAAAAAAAAAAAATCTTGGCGTGCCTTGCCGGAAGGTTTCCCAGGGAGAACCAACCCTTGCGTGTCTCTGACGGATTTTCCTTTTTAAAAGCGCACAGGTTGGAGCCTGTTCTAGGCTCCTGGCCTGGGAGGAATTTTCTTGGTGCTCGCTGGCGATTGCAAGCCCAGAAAACAAAGCCGGGTGTATAGAAGGCAGGCTCACGCGGCTCGGCATGGGAGGACGCGTGGGGCGAGGTAGTGCGCCGGGGTGGCTCTGAGGCTCGAGCCAGGCCCGAGGTCGGGCCGCGGAAAGGGGAGCTGCAGCCTTGCAGCTTGGGCTGCCGCTTGGCCCTCCGCCTTTACAAAGAGGATGGATTCCCAGCAGCGTGCTCCAGGCCAGCAGAGCCTTCCTCTCCACCACCCCCCTCCCTCGTCTACACCGCGTGCGCCTCAAGAACCACCCCTCCTCCACCCTTCCAGGCTCTTTGCAGTCTCCTACCCGGACTCGGGCCTCTGTGAGGTTGGTCCACACTGCGATTTCTTCGCGCGTGGACATGTCCGGGTAGCGGTTCCTCTGGAACGTAGCTTCCAGCTCTTGCAGCTGCTGGCTGGTGAAGTGAGTCCGCTGCCGCCGTTGCCGCTTTTTCTTGGAAGGGTCCTCGGCGCCCACGTCCTCATTCTTCCCCTGTTGGCTTTTATCTTTCTCTGAAAACGAAACACACAGAGACCCCCGTCAGTGTTTCCAGCAGCAACTCGGGAAGTGCAACTGACTGGAGCGGTGGCAGAGATCCGGGCCGAGTCCCGGTGCCTTGGGGGGAGGAGTGCGCTACACGGCCCGGGGAGCGCAGCCAGCGCCCATGGGGTGTGAGTGCGGAAGGGTGAGGGAGCGGGCACCCCATCTTCTCCCCTCCCCCAGCGCTGCACGTTTTATTTACATGTTTATCTCTGCACGGTGGCACCGTAATTTTTATGGCCCAGGCCTTGAAGCATATTTTTACAACTCTGCGCAAGACACAACTCTCCGTGGACACATACACAGAGCGCGATTAGGGACCCTTTCTGGTAGAAAGTGCGATTTGCAATGCAGTTTTGGAAAGCTAGGAAATTCGGGATTCAGTTAGGCACCAAAGTTTCTTGGCCCCTTAGGAGAAACTGTCTCTTTGCCAAGAACACTTCTGAGGCTGAATTTTAGAAAGACTTTATTAGGAAGTGGAACTATTTCGGAGCCCAAAGCCGAGAAAAGAGTAGGGATTAGAAACAGGACGGCCTCTGAACATGGGGATGTTGAAGACTGATGGGGGGACACAAACCAGCAAAAAGAAAGGACAAGTCAAGTAGAGTTAAGGTCTGGCCATCCAAGCCAGGTCTTCTGGCCGAAGCAGAGAAAAGAATGTGGTGGGATCCCCAGAGACTCGTCTCCGGTTGTTCTGCGGACAGCCAGCAAAACGCCCCCCACATACACAACCACCACGCCCCCCCCCATGAGGGGCTGATGGGTGAGAGGCACCGGGTGGCTGGGCGTGGATGGCGGCAGGGCGGTGTTCGCCTTACCTGAGGCCTCGGGGCTGGAGGTGTCGGAGATGGTGTGCACCTCCAGCCTGTGTTTGGAGGAGTCCAGGGAGCGAGGCTGCCCAGGAGCCAAAACCGAAGCCATGGTCAGTTGCTGGGGATGGTGGCAAGAAGAGGTGGATGAGGAAGCGGCCGACAGCTTGGTTACTGCTGCTCGGTGCTCCAAGTGCAGCGGGCCTTTCATGCAGTTCATGGGCGAGGGAGCGTACCGCCTCAGAGTCCCAGGCTCCTGCCCCGGCGAGCCTCAGTGGCGCTGGCGCCCGCTCCGGGTCGCGCTCAAGGCGCGGAGTTTCCCCGGCGTGGCCGCCGCGGGCAGAGCCAAGGGACGCGCACCGCCTCAGAGCCACCGAGTCCTCGGGCCGAGGTGCCCCTTCTTCTCCAGAAGCCTCAAGTGGAAAAGTCCAGCGGCCGAAAGTCAGCGGTCAAACGGACACATGGGGATGTGGGCAGGAGGACGCTGTTCCGAGTGTCTTTGGGGAGCTGCCTCCCAAGCTCCAAAGCGAATCAAGAGTGGGCAAAGACCCCCTTTCCTCCCTCCCGCCCTCCCCCAAGCACCCCTCCAATAAGGAAAGCTAACGCCGACCGCGCTCAGAAAGGCGAGCTCTGCCCGCCCCCTGCGCGGCAACCCTGACAGAGAAGTGTCAAGAGTGACAGGGACAGGTAGCTGATATTAGATCCCCAGCGGCGGTGGCGCGGCGCGGGCCTCCGGAGCGCCCTGCGGCTGGCGCTCTCTCGCGCACCCCTTGGCCCGTCGAGCTCGAGCCGCGTCTGCCCGCAGCTCTGCTCCGGCATCCAGGCGGGCGGCGGACTAGCTCTGCAGCTCCGCGCTTCCCTGTTGGCCTAACATCTTAAAACCAGAGGCGGGCTTCCTGGTGCCTAGACGTCACTCGGCCGCGGCCCTCTCCATCCCTCCCCGCCTCCTCCTCCTCTTAGACCCTTCGCAGGCGCGAGTGACGTGGCTCCTCACCAATCAGGACGCCCTGAGACGCGGCGGAGGGACGGACCTGCGTGCACCTATCAGCAGCCCGGGGCCGAGCTAAGTGCCCACCGGGTCTTCACCAGCCGCTTCAGGGAATTCTCTGCTCCCGCAGGGTCCTAGCCTGGGAGCCCAGGCGGGGAGGTGGAGAGGTGAGGCTCCGAGAAAGAGCCCAAAGGTCGAGTGCTAACGGAAAGGAGGGTCAGCAAGGCAGTCTCCTTCCCCTTCGTTTGGTCTGTCATGACACCCATTTCCAATCAAGGGCTTTTGCTTGTTTTTTTATAGGCAAAAGGGCCCGTGCTACTTAAAACCAGAAAAAATTTTAAAAGACCACACATTATCTGTCCGATCTTAAATTTTCTCTACAGCCTGTCAAGTGAATGAATGCTGCACTAATCTGAATCGGCTTTGCTTTAATTGCGAGGAGGGCAAAGCCCTGAAAAGACAGGCTAATAAATTAGAAATCGAGAAGCAAATGGACCCGTCAAAAGAAAATTACCTTGACTTTAAACGAACAACTGTTTGGTGATTCACTCTGGATTTACACAAGAATAAAAAGTCGCTTCTGATCACGTTCTCTGTAAGGCTTATTAGTCCCCAGACAGAAAACGCACAATAGAACAGAAACCCTAACCCAGCGTTTTCAAAATGCTGAAAGCTTATCCATTCTACTTAAAGTTGATTAAGATACATATCCTACATCTTTCAAATTCCTTGTACACTGCATTAAGCTTGTACTAACCCGAGAGAAGGCCACGCTTTAAATTTTGACTCTCTTGTTTACTTTATTATCAATCAGATTCAAATCCATAAAGCCTTGGAATCAGCAACCTTGAGCTAATTATATAGGAAATATGCTTTGATAAATTTCCATATCATTAAAAATGTTGCCAAATAACCAATTTCAAGGATAATTTTGAACATTTTCTTTCTCCAGTGAGCTCAAGACTCTCTTGAATCCTTAAAAGAGAGTCTAAGGCAGTAGGGTATGGGCAGAGGAAAAATGCCTAGAGGAGAGGGCAACCGGATAAATCAGAGTTTTATTCACTTAAATAAAAGAGGAGGGAAACCATTTTTGGGAACAAGCATTATTACAGTACTTTTCCCAAAGTCATTTAAGAAGAAAAAATCCAAAGCACATCTTTCAAAATAAAGTCCTTTCCCCCTCTAGTTCAGCTCACCTAGAAAACACATCCTAATCTCCCCCAAGTTTCTGCATTGTGGATTGTTTTATTGTGGAGTTAGTGTTATCATCCCTGAGTGTGTCTTTGTTTGACATTACAGTCAATGATTTGCAACCCCAGTGCTAGGTATCTTCAGAAGGCCTCCTCCTTGTCCTTGTTCACAAGATTGGGAAACTTATTCAGTCTGGAGCGAAGTGGTTGAAACACACTGCAAATATGTTTGTGACCTATGTCACCCTTTTGTCCTGCTCTTCCCAGATCCCTTTATCTAGCACCTCTCCTGGATTTTTAACAGACTTAAGCAGTCCAAGGAGCCTAAAGAGAATGTATTTGTTCTCCAGTCTTGCCCCACAAAATATCTCACTTAAGAAAAGTACCTCACTTTAAAGAAAACTTAAGCTACTAGGAAGAACTTTCTTCATAGTTAGCTTTGAATTAGCATTTCTGGTTTGAACCTTTTATTCCAAATTGCCCACTCCATGCACACACACACACCTGCTCAGGGCTGAACACATCCCCATGCGACAGGTCTGCATTAGCTAAGGCTCAGATATTCAGCTATATTAGGTCCTACAATCTTATCACTAAATTATACATATTATACCAGCAGCATGTTGGTAAAGAAGGTTAAATTAATTTACATTCTGCTCATTATCTGGTGCTTAAATGATGAATTTTATCCCTGAGATTTGGTGGAGAATCTCCTCCTCAGACCCCACTGAAGACAATGCTCTTACATTTGTAGTGGTTTTTAATCTGATAAGACTCTAATTTGCTTAAGTCTTTTAAATAAGGGTTTTAAATGTTTCTAGCCATTTTCTTATTGAATTTCCTCTAATTCCCCCAAGATCATAAAGTATATGTGTAAAGTAAATATTTCCTCCCATTGCACTGGCAGCCCATGACCTATAACTAAGTCAATATGAATCCAGCTCTATTCTGCCCAATGTGTTTACTAATCATATTCTAGTTCTTCTTTTGAACCCCTGCATAGCTTTGGTCCCCACAATACCACCCCACAATACCACGTCCCCAAAGCTTCCTTTCAAATACAGACAAATGCAGGATGAAAAACACTCTCTCAAAGTGAGCATACCCTCTTCCATATTTCAGGATTCCAACCCTGGATCTGTAATTTTCAGAGGTGTCTTGGGGTGTTCTTCAAAACTCTTTACTCTAAAAAGTTGAGAAGCCCCACAGAACCATGGAGATTTCTAAGCTGTTCCCATTGTTCATTAAGTCCCTAGACTTTTTGCTTAAGCTCTGGTGGCCCTTCTCAACTGGTAGCATTTGCATCATGGCAAACATATGTATACTAAAGATCTCAACTGGTCTCCAAAGTGAATTCACACACTTATACACACACACACACACACACACACACACACTGCCAAAGTATAGGAGAATTTAAAAGTACTGGTAACCTAAAGATAACCTAAAACAATAAGGAGTCTTCCCATCCATTTGAGAGTTAAGTGAATAATAAAGATAATTATCAGGAGAAACACACAGGCACACACACAAACACCCCTCCCTTCTCCCAAGCCATCCAAACAACTGAGCCAAAATGAGTCTTGCCTTTCCATTTTCCATGTAGAATTTCAACTCCTATTAATCACTCCACACACTCTAAAAGACAACAAGGAATAGAAGATGCTAACTTATTGCCATCTAGTCAATCTCTATTGTGATCGTGCATGTACATGGACGTGAGACTCATTCTAAGGAGCAGAATTCGATGGCACAGATCTCTGTAGGAAGAAGATAGCAACATAATGGGGAAAAGGAATGGTTGTATTAGAGACTAAGGAACGCTTGGGGGGTGGGGAGCAAAAGGGATGCTTGTAATAGAGACTAAGAATATTCCATGACGTGTGGCGGGCAACTTTTGAGATTTATGCTGCAGAAAAAATTGTGAGTGTATAGATGTATTGTTTATATAGGATAAAGAAGGATAAATATAGGAGAAATGAAGA